TATATATTTATAACTATGTTTATCTATTTTCCGGCATCGACTAATAATTTTGACAAAAAAAAAAAACTAAAACTAACATATTTTCCGGCATCGACTAATGATTTAGACAGAATATGAGAGAGTGAGTGAATATGAGAGAGGCGTGGTCACGTCACTGCACTTTTGCAAAAAGTTACGAATCTTTCTACTGGAAATGCTTATCAGTCTGCCTGATTATGTGCATGTGTGTCTATCAGTGCGCGTATATATTACTGTGGTCAATCATATATTTGTTTTTCTAAACAACAATAGAAGCAGCAGCAAAAATGTCGCTACAGATTTCCGGTTTGTGAGTTTTAGGTTTTCCTCAAACGAGTTTCGTAAGATTTTTCTCGAGATGCAAGAAGATCTACCGAAACTGGAAATACATGAAGGCGAATGTATTTAAATAATAAGTGAAATAAATTATATAAAAGATATATTGTATAAAAGGTTTACCACCTGGATTGTCAATACGACTATATATTCAATCCATAGAGTTCAAGTATGTATAAGTCTGATCTTATATACCACTTTTTCCTTCACCGTCTACAGAGTATCTAGGTAGTCGCATAAATGCTATTGAAATTAGTTTATTTGTGCCTGTTGTTTGGCTTTTGGCTGTTTTTGATGTAAATGCTTGTTGTTGTTGTTCGTGTGGGTTGATTTTTAATTAATGGTGCTTCGTATGCGTTTTGCGTCTGGGCCAAAAACTTCCGGGCTGCAGGACAACAGAGCAAGAACGGCAGCTGTGCTGCCCATACACAAATACACATACCCACGCACACACACTAATACATATAAGTTTGCATGTGTGTGTGTGTGTGGGTGCGTGTGTTTGGATTGGCCATAAGGAGCGGAAGCAGCGGCCGTTGCGTCCGCCAAATAAACCCACAAAAATAAGAGAAAACACGAAAAAAAAAAAAGCAAAACAAAATTAAATCGATATTTTCCGGAAATCATAAAAAATTATTTATGTATACCCACGCACATGAGCGCAACATGGACCAGGGCATGGGACACACTATTTGTACTTATATTTAAATAAATATTAACAATTATATAAATAAATAAATATAAGAGTGCTCTAAACTGCTCGATTAGGAGATAACCTGAACCCTGCAAAGAACTGATATTCCAATCGGGTATAGCAACGCCATAGCGAAGATAACCGGCTAGAAGACCCGCAAGAAACTGAGCATCGGCACGAGAGCAATGCGTTGGTATGGTCTATCAAAATCAATGAGAATGTCGCATTCGAAGGATAAATTTAATAAAAAATTAATCTTAATTAATATATTTTGTTGAAATATACAAATATTTAATTCTTTGCAACTCATTTGCCAATCACTCTCAAATAAAAACAAAGAAAGGGAAATAAATGAAATAAAAAATATGAAAAAAAAAATTAATTTAAAACATAAGGGAAGTGTAGCTTTATCGAATTACATGAAGTGAATAAATAAATGGTACAGTGGCTCAAAGGCTATAGAAAAGGCAATGCAACTGAATAAATAGCAAAGTTGTACAGCACAGTTACTCCTAAGCTTTTCTTTCTACTTATCAGTAATACATATAAATGCATACATACACATGTATGCATATGAAAATATAAATGTAATGTAATTGTCTTGATTGCAATATTTAATTTCATTGTCGCACATTATTAATGATGTCTGAGATGCTGTTTGTTAAATGAAAATGAAAGTGTTTGGCCAAATGAAAATCAATTCACTTCACTGACAAACAATTGAAAAGCAGACAGACAGAGAAAGAGAGAGAGAGAGAGAGAGAGACAAATAGAGGCAGACAGAACAAGATAGAGAAATATGAGGGTAAAGTTAAATAACCATAAAATAGCCCATTTCTAAGTACGACTCTGTCCAGATCCATTTCCAGTCAATACAAAAAGAAAAGCAAAAGCATAACAAATAGATGTGAAAACAAATTTACATGATAACTTATAGTATCGATGATTCTATACGTGTGCCAGCTATAGCCATTTTGTCATTTTCGATAGGTTCAAGCTGCAAGCACAGCGTAGGAGCAAAATGTCGCGCAATCGATTTCATCCGACTGCAACGTTATTTAAAGGCTACTGAAAATAAATTGAGTTTGATTTAATATGTAAAATGGTTTGAAGGTAAGAAAACTGATGAATTCCACTAGCTGACTGGCTGATGAATTGGATTACTTGACTTATTGAGTGACTACCTGAGTAACTATTGTCATTCAATGCCTGATTCAAGGAAGATCGGACTGTCTGACGATTTGATTGACTAAAATCCTATTTAACGATAAATCATTTGCAAAAAGTTTCAAATACAATTTAAGTAATTTTCTCAACTTTTTCCGCACCATTTTCACCAATGTGAGTCGCGACGCCTACAGCAAATTATCCGGACAGTAAACGAAGTCTATTGATACGCTGGACGGAGGCAGGCCACAAAGAGCAGGGCAAAGACCACAAATGCCGCAGAGGTTCATCCCGCCGGAGACGCGCGCGCACCCAGTTGGCCGAACCCGATGCCAGCTGGTCAACGCTACAACTGGGCAGTAATAGGCGTGGCAGGAGCAGTTACTGTGGCAGTAACAGTTACAGTTACAGTGACAGCAGCCGCAACAGCTGCGGGCGCCATCAAAACTTGTCCTTGTGGCTGGCGCACTTTAATTTCAATTTGTCGTTCCTCGTGCCACCACGGTCGACAACTGCTCAGTGCCTGAGATGTCGCCAATACCCTGTACTCAAAGCATAAATGGTATATGCACTTACAGACATCTAAAAAGGATTCGTATATCTATAGTATAAATGAATTTATCTATAGTACAATATATCCAATATACAGCAATTTCTTATATTTTTAGTGCCACATGGATCTGTGACTCTATGTCTAAGAAGCAGAATGAAGCAAATATGTTGGAAGCTATCTTTATAAGTGCGAAGCAGGGTATTCAGCAGCTGCAACTAGTTATTTACATTGAACAGGATTTCTAAACATGAACGCTATTTAAGACGGAAAAATGGTTTTGCATATATGATACACGGTATGTCGTAGTCGATCATTTGAATCAAAAGGGATTATAAGAATAATAATTCAAAAATGAGAATTATCTATATAGAAGCTAACCATGCACATTAAATAAAATTTTTAAAAGCACGGTATCAGCAATCGTGAATCGATCTTACGAATGAAAGAGATGTCATATTGGTAGCAACACGATATCGAATACAAAGTATCGATCGTGTATCCATAAGATGTATCACTCTAACCATATGGTCAGTGGATGTATCAAAAGAAAAACATCGTACTCATAAAGATATCGAAACATAAACATCGGTGTTGCAAAGTATCGAGTACTTATTTTTCATTTAGAGAAACGGTAGCTATGCAACATCATATCTAATCATATTATATCATTACGCAAATAATGAGCAGTAACTCCCAAATAACTCATTTTATCAATTCGTCATCTCGCCCAAATCATCACATGTTATTGCCGGGAGCTACATTTTTAAGTATGCTTTGACCTTTACAATGCATATAGTATAAAAATCATCCAATTGAGCTTTTAGCGTATCAACGTTTTTCTTTACTCGATACAACTCTAGAGATACTTGATAAGTACAAATATCAAAACGAAAATATTGATATAAGAAATATCGATTTTTTAATAAAATATTTAAAAAAAAAAGTAAATCTGAATATCAATGCTTTCAACAGAGCACAATTAGATACTGGATATTAAAATAATAAAGCAGGGAATCTACAAATCTGCCATTATTAATTCGTCAGATCACGAAATTGTCGAGCTCTTGGTATATTTATGTAATAAATTCTATAAACTGAGTATCTAACAGTCGTTCAACAAAATGCATTTAATAAGCACTTTTACTTGTTTTTATTGCTTTTATTGTTTTCTTGCTGTTGCTGTTGCTTTTGGGGCTGTTTTTGGCCCACGGCAATTTATTGTTTTCCACTTTACGCCAGTGTCCCACTGCGAAGCGGCTTCTTGTTGTTGTTTTCTCTGTCTGTATATATGTATTTACCTATA